CCCAGGTCAATCGTATTTAAGGCAAGTGCCCTTCCCACTGGACTATCTCTCTGGCTCTGTTTCTGCCTCTTAGTGTTCTTTCTCCCCCTTGGTCTCTCCATTTCTGTTTCTCCTCCTTTCCCTTTCCTCCCTTCTTTCCTTCCTTCCCTCCTTCTCTCCTTCCTTCCCTCCCCCCCCTCTCCTGCCCCTTCCCATTTTGGCCACCAGGTGTCAGCAGACGGTCATCCTTAGGGCTCCACACGCGCTGGCACTGCTGTTCATACCCTGATTGGAGCCAGACCCTGTCAGTCATAGTACTGGGCGGGACCCTTAGACAGAGCTCCTCCTCCTACCGTATGGAACTCGGTGCGCACAGACTGGGGGAATCCCTAATCCCACCACCACCAGCAATGTCCCCAGTTTGCCTCCCACCACCCAGTCTGCCTCTGTGACAGGCACTTTATATATACGTGTGTGTACATATGTATACATGCATAGTACATATGTGTATATATACATGCACACACACTCTCCTCCTGTTGTTCATCAATTTGCTCGAGCGGGCCCAGTAACGTCTCCCTTGGAGACTTTGTTGTTACTGTGTTTGGCATATCGAATACGTCACAGGTAGCTTGCCAGGCTCTGCCGTGTGGGCGAGATACTCTCGGTAGCTTGCCGGGCTCTCCGAGAGGGGTGGAGGAATCGAACCCGGCTCGGCCAGGCTGGCTGCACACAAGGCAAACGCCTTACCACTGTGCCATCGCTCCAGCCCATACACGCACACACACAAATATATGAAATTACTTATATACAAATTATCGGCACTGTGGTTTACGTGCTGTTGCCCAAGGGTCTCATGAATAACATTTTCCCACCACCTGCCGCCCCGTCCTCCTCCTTCCGGTTGATCTCCCCACTTCGGTCGTGTTTTCTTCCCGTCCCGTCCCACGGACCCCCAGCCCCGTGGGGGGCTTCCTGCCGCAGGCTAAGTCCTCGTGTTCTTCACGTCTGTTGCCTTTTCTCCCCATCTTCTGCCGCCAGTGCACTGCTTAGGAACTGGCGGATGTGACCCTTGTCCTTGGCCGGACGGCCTGTCCCCATCACAACCAAGAAGAGACTTTGGAAGCATCACGAGCCTGGCAGGAAGCCTGGGTCTCACTGCTCCGTGCCTTCAGCCTCTGCACCCTGACATCCTGTGGGGCACAGGCTTACGAATGCAGCAGGGCATGGCACCTGTGCAGGGATGAATCGGACCATTCCCCCCATCTCAGTCCTGGGTGGAGAGAGAAAGGAGCCCAAGAGGTCTTCTGCTCTTG